ATGCATTTTATTTATACCTGAAATTTTATATATATATATATATATAAAAAATGCATTTTATTTATACCTGAAATTTTATATATATATATATATATATATATATATATATATAATAAATGCATTTTATTTATACCTGAAATTTTATATATATATATATATATTTATATACATACATAAATTTGTAGCTGTAGATTTTGTATACCTTTGTCTTAGTGTTGTGGATGAAATATTAAGTATATTGGAGGGTTCTAAAAGTGTTTATATTTTTATTATATATTATGTATATTTCTTTTTTTATATTTTTTTTTTTTTTATTTCATTTTATTATATATTATGTATATTTCTTTTTTATTATATATATTTTTATTATATCTTATTATATATTATGTATTCTTCTTTTTTTATTATATATATTTTTATTATATCTTATTATATATTATGTATTCTTTTTTTTATTATATCTTTTATTATATATTATGTATATTTCTTTTTTATTATATTTTTTATTATATATTATGTATATTTCTTTTTTAATATATTTTTTATTATATATTATGTATATTTCTTCAAGTATGTATTAGAGGCTGCAGATTTTTCTCTTTCATGAAGATGACAACATATATGAAAAAAATAAATGAACACAAGGTCACAAAAGAGAGGCTGAAATGAAAACATGAAATCAAGAAAATATTAAAAAATTAAGAAATTTCCTGAGTAAAACTTCACAAACATCACCCAAAGACAAACCTACTCTATAGATTACCAAAAATATGTATTGTAAACCATGTATTTTGAAGAGATACCTTAGATCAGAAATTGTCAGAGGTCATAAACTAACTGGTACACTAACCAAAATATACACATCTTGTCACAATTAACTACACTCATATAAAAAAAAAACCTCTGGTGATTTTTTATTAATAGGTTACAGACATAAAAGACAAATCTATAACTAGTTTATATATAAACTCTCTCCCCCTCTCTCTCTCTCTCTCTATATATATATATATATATATATATATATATATATATATATATATATATGTATTTAGTCATGTCTGATTGAATAAATTATAAATATTTTGTTTGCTTATTTTTATCATAATCCTTTTCATATTCATGAATATTTTATTTTCTGTATATTACAATTATAGTGCATTTCTTGCCTTATTTAATTGTAATATTTAGAAAAATAATTGTGAATATGAAAGGATTATGATAAAAATAAGCAGACATAATGTTTGTAATTTATACAATCAAACATATGACAACTAAGAAAGCCAAACACAAAATAAAAAAGTTTTCTTGTGTGCAGGTGCTCAGAGGATCACATCCAGTCCACAAAACAAATCTCTGTAAAAATTTAAAATACAATATCCAATCATGAATGTTGCAGCCAAATAAGAAAGAAAAAATAGAAGATGACCCTGAAAGCCACCAGGCTTGCTTAAAAGAAAGGACCTCATAAATAACTGATGCAGTAGCAAGCCAGAAGGCCAGTTGTCAACACTAGGGTGCTGTCATCACCATCATAATCACCTCTCTTGTCGTCACTGTAATGTTGCCCAAGATTCATTAGTCTCAACTGACTCTTCACACTTGGACCCTGTATCAGCAAAGTCAGATTCATGACTTCACACAACTATTCAGACTCAATTCCACTGTATAAGCAAATTAAGATTCATGACTTCACTCAGATATTCACTCTCACATCCACTGTATTGTCAAAATGACATTCATGACTTCACTCAAATATTCATGCTCACCTACACTATATTGTCCATTTGAGATTCATGACTTCACTCAACTATTCACGCTCACTTCCACTGTATTTCCAAAATCTGATTCACCCGTAACCTCTGTATTGGCAATGTCAGATTGATGACATCACTCAACTATTCACACCTGTAACCTCTGTATTGGCAATGTCAGATTCATGACATCACTCAACTATTCACACCTGTAACCTCTGTATTGGCAATGTCAGATTGATGACATCACTCAACTATTCACACCCGTAACCTCTGTATTGGCAATGTCAGATTCATGACATCACTCAACTATTCACACCCTTAACCTCTGTATTGGTAATGTCAGATTCATGACATCACTCAACTATTCTCAATGAGACCAACTGTATTGACAAAATCAGATTCAGAATTTCACTCAACTATTCACACCCGTAACCTCTGTATTGGCAATGTCAGATTCATGACCTCACTCAACTATTCACACCTGTAACCTCTGTATTGGCAATGTCAGATTCATGACCTCACTCAACTATTCACACCCGTAACCTCTGTATTGGCAATGTCAGATTCATGACCTCACTCAACTATTCACACCCGTAACCTCTGTATTGGCAATGTCAGATTCATGATTTCACTCAACTATTCACACCTGTAACCTCTGTATTGGCAATGTCAGATTCATGACCTCACTCAACTATTCACACCCATTAACCTCTGTATTGGCAATGTCAGATTCATGACCTCACCAACTATTCACACCCGTAACCTCTGTATTGGCAATGTCAGATTCATGACCTCACTCAACTATTCACACCTGTAACCTCTGTATTGGCAATGTCAGATTCATGACCTCACTCAACTATTCACACCTGTAACCTCTGTATTGGCAATGTCAGATTGATGACATCACTCAACTATTCACACCCGTAACCTTTGTATTGGCAATGTCAGATTCATGACATCACTCAACTATTCTCAATGAGACCAACTGTATTGACAAAATCAGATTCAGAATTTCACTCAACTATTCACACCCGTAACCTCTGTATTGGCAATGTCAGATTCATGACCTCACTCAACTATTCACACCCGTAACCTCTGTATTGGCAATGTCAGATTCATGACCTCACTCAACTATTCACACCTGTAACCTCTGTATTGGCAATGTCAGATTCATGACCTCACTCAACTATTCACACCTGTAACCTCTGTATTGGCAATGTCAGATTCATGACCTCACTCAACTATTCACACCTGTAACCTCTGTATTGGCAATGTCAGATTGATGACATCACTCAACTATTCACACCCGTAACCTTTGTATTGGCAATGTCAGATTCATGACATCACTCAACTATTCACACCCTTAACCTCTGTATTGGTAATGTCAGATTCATGACATCACTCAACTATTCTCAATGAGACCAACTGTATTGACAAAAATCAGATTCAGAATTTCACTCAACTATTCACACCCGTAACCTCTGTATTGGCAATGTCAGATTCATGACCTCACTCAACTATTCACACCTGTAACCTCTGTATTGGCAATGTCAGATTCATGACCTCACTCAACTATTCACACCTGTAACCTCTGTATTGGCAATGTCAGATTCATGACCTCACTCAACTATTCACACCTGTAACCTCTGTATTGGCAATGTCAGATTCATGACCTCACTCAACTATTCACACCTGTAACCTCTGTATTGGCAATGTCAGATTCATGACCTCACTCAACTATTCACACCTGTAACCTCTGTATTGGCAATGTCAGATTCATGACCTCACTCAACTATTCACACCTGTAACCTCTGTATTGGCAATGTCAGATTCATGACCTCACTCAACTATTCACACCTGTAACCTCTGTATTGGCAATGTCAGATTCATGACATCACTCAACTATTCACACCCGTAACCTCTGTATTGGCAATGTCAGATTCATGACATCATTCAACTATTCTCAATCAGACCAACTGTATTGACAAAATCAGATTCAGAACTTCACTCAACTATTCACACTCACATCAACTGTTTTGGCAAAGTCAGATTCATGACTTCACTCAACTATTCACACACATCCACTTTACTGACAAAATGAGATTCAGGACATCACTCAACTATTCACACTCATAACCTCTGTATTGGCAAAGTCAGATTCATGACTTCACTCAAATATTCACGCTCACATCCACTGTATTGTCAAAATGAGATTCATAACTTCACTCAACTGTTCACACTCGTAACCTCTGTATTGGCAATGTCAGATTTGTAGCGTCATTATCGACCCTAAGCCTCACTCAATGTCACAACCATGACACTGTTTTGTTGATCTCCCATTCAACTGCAATTCAACAGAATCATTATGCTTGATCAAGCTTCACTATTCAATTCAGTATTCAGTTTAAAGTACATTGAAAGTTACCTGGATCAACAATCACCTGGTAATGGTCAGTGGGCACAATTGCTGAAATGTTGTGATGACAACAACAAAGATGAGGACAATAGTCCATGTAAAAATCCAAGTAAGATCAGGATAGTATTCAAAAGGAGCTTTGTTTTTCAGAGATGTTAAATCTCTGTCAGAAGAAATGATAACAAAGAACTAAGTACACTGTACCATGCACTTGAGCAGGGAATACAAAGGTGAAACCAATCACTTCAAAAAGGTAAGGCTTGTAGAACACTGAACACCATTTGTGAGACAATAAAATCAGATCATAGGATTGGAAATAAATTAATACAAGGACATGTTATATGATGCGTTTTTATTCTATGTCAGAAAAGAGAATATAAAGAAATTTAGATGCATAGAAGTATTATACTTTGAAATAAATTGAATATAATTAATAAAACAAATAAATTAATGTAACTAATTCTAAAATTCATTACCAAAAAATAGATAAGTAAAATATATGATGTCATAAATATTTTTGATAATATTTAAAAAATATAACATTATAAATAAAATGATATTTTTTGTTTTATAATGAAATATAACATTATAAATGAAGTGATATTTTTTGTTTTATAATGAAATATAACATTATAAATGAAGTGATATTTTTTGTTTTATAATGAAATATAACATTATAAATGAAGTGATATTTTTTTGTTTTATAATGAAATATAACATTATAAATGAAGTGATATTTTTTTGTTTTATAATGAAATATAACATTATAAATGAAGTGATATTTTTTTGTTTTATAATGAAATATAACATTGTTGATTTTCTTTTTTTACCTTGCGTCCTTGGTGTTTTTGAACTTCCTTGGCTTCCCATTGTTTCTGCTTCATTTGTGCCTCCAAAGCTGAACTTCCTCCACATCCCCAAACCTTAAAAGATAAAAACACTAGTATTTAAGACAAAATTTATTTGACAAAGAAAAAAGATTAAACATACTACAAATGCCATTTACAAATAAGTTGAATCCAAAGATTGTTTCCATTAAAAAATAATGTGATATCTATTTCAATTTGTTTTGAAGTTAATATATTTTTATATTAAAGTTAATATTTTTTAACTATATTCAGTTAGTTCAAGTTAATTTTTGATGAATGTGAGATGAATTATTTACTAAGTTTATCTAAGTTCACCAAGCATAAAGTGTAAGGGAAGATAACTAGGGGGAGATAACTAAAAGTAGAAAGATTGGTCTATATCGAACTTTCAAATGTTAAAAGTCTGTTTGTTCTGAAAATCTTGGTTCAAACTTGGGTTTGATTCCATGCCAAAGGTGTCAATAGGATAATATACAACTCCTTATTTTACCACAGCAAATCCTGAAAATGAGGAATATGTATGCATATCTTCTATATGATATATTCCTTCAGGACATAAACGATCATGGTTCTCCACAACTTCTTGTCCCTGCTAGCTCTTAGCAGTGTTTGTCTTTTTGCTATCTCTCCTAATCCCTGTTCTGCCAACTATTTACACAAGCTTGTTAGGTAGTTTATTTGCTGTTTTGCTCATGACTTCAACATGTCTTGTGAGTGTCACCTTTTCCAAGCCCTCTTTCCTCATTATGTGCTATAAAATTTCAAATGTTTCTTTCTGATCTTAACTATATGTGTCCTTTTTGTTTCCATTTTCTCTAAAACTTTGTTGTTATTCACATGTTCTTTCTATGGTATTCTCAGCATCCTTCTGTAGAAAGATTTCTATTGCCTCATGTCTCTTCTTCATCTGTATGGAGATAAGAGAAAGTGAAAAAAATTTTAATAACAACCCATTTTGCTTCTTTCTAGTAAGTGTCTTTGAATTAGAATGAAAGACAAACCCAGTGTAAAAGGAAAGGGTGTTGGAATTTTTGGGTGAATAAATAATGCAGATATTACAGCCATAAAGTGCTTTTTCTGTATTGAGGCAGTTAATGTCTGCTGGATTTGAAATTAGACCACTTAGAGTTGAACTCGTTTTTTTCTCTATTAGTTTGTATACTTCATTTTGCCTTGCAATGATAATGTATATGAACCTTGTCTAAGGCTGACATAAAAATATGCTATATTTTTTTTTTTTTTATGTAAAGTAAAACAACTGTTCCTGAATTATATTTTCAGAACAGTAATAGGTTGTATAAAATATTTTATTAAATAAGGTTTATTGTGAAAATTAAATATACATTAAAAAGAATTATTCTAAGAATAATTACAGGGTTTAAATCTTTTACTTTTTCTTGTTTTTTTTTTTTTGTTTTTTTTACTGAATTTTGTTTATTGACCATTCAACTTTGCATGGAGTATTGCTGCCATATATGGTCTGGAGCCCCTTCTGTTTGTGTCAAGGTCCTCGATAAAATCCAAAGGTGGATATGCAATGTAATTGGCCCTGATCTGGCATCTCGTTTGCAGCTGCTCTCTCACAGACATGCTGTTACCTCCCTCTGTCTTTTTTACAAATACTTTCATGGTAACTGCTCCGATGAGCTGCTTTTACTGATTCCCAGACTTCATGAATTTAAGTGTTCAACTAGGCTGGCATCTTGCTCTCACCCTTTCACTGTTGAAACTGCTAAATGTAGCCATCTCTTCTACTCCAATAGCTTCATGTCTCGCACTTCTCTCCTGTGCAACTCCTTCCCCATTTCTTGTTTTCCTGATAGCTATAATCTCCAACTATTTAAATGTAATTTCAACTGACATCTCCAGATGCCCTGATCTATCCCCTAAACTTCTCTTCATCCTTTCCTCTATCACACCGCTTTGCTCTCGCTCCAACTCTCTGTAACCCCTTGCGTGATAGTGGCTTCCTGCCTTGCTTAGGGTGTAATTTGATTAAAAAAAAAAAAAAATTCCATGGCATTCTGTTGAACTTTCTGTTTATTGAAGTATGCTTCAGTTTATTTATTTACTAATTAGTTATGAATTAAAACAAATTACTGCACATGTATGCAAGTTTTAAAATCTATCAATGTTTTCTTTTACTATTAAATTTGTAAAACACATCTATAAAAATAATCCATGTAAATGTAGTAATATGAAAAAGAATGATTATTTTCAACAATATATGAATATTATTTGGAATGCACCTTGTAAGTTGGACAATCTTGGAAAGGATTTTTTTTTTTATTGATTCATTTGTTTTCTACAGCTTATGAATAATTCTTGGAAAGGGTGGAGAATGATATTCTGACATATAGTGAAAAGGGTGCATGGGGCAAAAAAGGTTAAGAATCACTATTCTATACCATAACTTTCTAGTATTATAGTTGAATCCAATTTACTATCCACTATGTAGTGATGTTTTAATAATTGAATTGTCCCATAGGGTAGGGTGACTGGCTCTATACTTAACCTTTGTATTCTGAAAATGGGTTTGTTTTCTGTCAGGGTTTTCCTTCTTTTAGATGACAATGTGTGTCCACACTAACAATTTCTCTCTACCTGACTTTGAGAATTCAGGGTTTCCTTCTTCAAGGAAGGCATCATAGTTTTTTGTAATCCAGATACTTTCAACCTTTTCTAAGATCATCTTCAGGGGTAAATTACAAAGATAAATTTATTGTAACTACAATAAAATTTTACACTCCGTTAAATCAAACATAACATAAATCAAAAAGGAAGGAAAAAATGCATATTTATTATTAATACACACACATATATATATTATAATAATAAACATATTTTGTCCTCACTCACCAGTAGCAAAACTCTGAATGAAATTTCAAACATTTTTTGGTCAGCCCCTGATGATTGCAGTGTGCATGAAACTCAGAGTTGTGCTACTGGAGAGGAAAAAATGCATATTTATTATTAATACACACACACACACACATATATATATATATGTATGCTAATATATTTCCTGTTTATACATTATTTTTCTAGATACAAATATTTAAGTAAATGCTTTGTTTACAATAAACAGTATTAACAACATTTATCCACCTGAATGTCTGAGAAATTTCATAGAGAATATATGTCTTCTGATAAGAATCGAACCTGTATCCTACATGTAACCATGATATAGCCTGACATGCTATACCATTTATGTATGTATATATATATATATATATATGAGATAGAGTTTTATTTAAGAAATGTTTCATAGACAACAACTCACATTTATTTTTACATAATAGTAATACTAATATATTTTTATAGGCTTCTTTGTGATAATCAATATTGAAAGTAATTAAATGGTTATTAATTTATATTTAATTAATTTCATTATCAGCAGTTAAAATTTTGTAATTTTTAATCAATGAACAAGAGAAAAGTTAATTTTTAGAATACAAAGACAACAGTTATTTTTAGCAATACTTATAACAACATTTGTAAATTACTCACTTCTATTCTGTACAATCTGCAAGCAACACCATAATGCTTAATAGAATCAAATTCTGAAGAGATATCCAAAATAATAGATGAAGGATCTTGACCAATTTGGATCCCTTTTGAGAGTCCTCTGTTATGTTCATTCCACAAGCAGATATCGGGACCAGCTTTAGTTTTTTCAAAAGAAATTAAATGAGAATATCAGTGTGTAAACAAGTAGGTGGAATGTTACATTAAAATTCTATATAAATATAATTATATATATTTTTTACTTTAAACATTATTTTTACTGGATACCCATATTTGAGTAGACATTCCATTTATTTTAAATAGTATTTTATTTTGTTTATCAGCCTGAACATTCAAGAAATCTTATTAAAGGAAAATGTTCATTTTTCTAGAATGATCAGGTTGGTAGATGAAATAAAATACTGTTTAAAATAAATGTAGTATCTACTTAAATATACATATCTACTAAAAATAATATTTAAAGTAAAAATATGTCTGATTATTATATAAAAATCCATTTGATGTGTGTTTCATCCATCAGTTTTGAGATACCTTGAATCTGCAACCAAAGAGTAATAGATCAGCTACTAATAGTGGTGAAACATTTGTTATGGCTGTACAGTCCCATACAGGAGTGGCAGTCTCAATTGAAGTAAATGCATGTAAAGACATCCTTCCTCAATATCACCTTGCTTTTTTCATTTCAGAATGAGCGATTGTTGGTGACATCTTCCCACCTCTGGATGTCTTTGACAATTGTCTTCATGCACCTTTTGCAGATATCCTTGAAGCGAAGATGAGGTCGCCCTTGTGACCTCTTGCAATTGGCTGTACAGAAGGACCTTTAGAATCCTCCCATCTAGGATACAGTGTACATGTTAAAGCCAGTGGGGCCAGAGAATGGCATATAGCCTGGGCAACTGGGGCATGAGCAAAAATTATGGCATTGGTGACCCAGTCGAACCAATTGATGCCCAAAATGCATCTCAGACAGTGAAAATAAAAGATGCTGAAGTGTCTCTCGTGTCTGGAGTAGAAGCTCTAAGTCTTGTTGCCAAAGAGAAGCACGTTGATAGTACATGCCTTATAGACTTCAATTTCGCTCTTCATAGTAAACTTTCTTGAGGTCAGTATGGCAAATGTGATTTTAACGCTTTAGAAATATGTACTAGCTGAGGGACCCAGTGTTGCCTGGGTATACATGGCTGCAATTGTATAACTGCACACCCCCTTTACATGCTGCCCCTGTCTAGAAATGTTTTCCTGCTTCCTCACTTGCATCTATCATCTGTTGGTATACTAAGCTAATCCCTCTATCCTCATCTTTTTTACAGTATGTCCTTTGCAAGTGTTTGTTCTTAATAAAGGAATTCCATCAATAAAACCTTCTTGTGTGGTCGTTGCTTGGGTTAAATTGTTTCAATATTTTATATGCATTTTTTGTATGAGGCCAATGTCACAGGAAAAATATCAAGGACTCCATATAAACCTCGTAACATGAACTATGTTTTCCATAAAATGCAAAGAACATCAGCTCATCCAGTAAAAATTTTGTTTGTGTGTAACTTTGCCTTGGTTTTTGTAAAAAGATATACCCACCTTCAGTTTTATCAATCTTTCTGTCAAACCCAGGTTGGGCCTGGAGATTGAAAAGTTGGTTTTGACCTACTTTGATATATTTGCAACATGTGTGTACAGTTTCATTGAAATTGGTTGAGAAATGTGGACGTGCATAAATAGCATTCACACACGGAGACAGATATATATATATATATATATATATATATATATATATATATATATATATATATATATTTAGATATTTTTATGTTTATACATTCTTTTTATAGATACAAATATTTAAGTAAATGCTCTGTGTATAATAAACAGTATTAAATAACATTTACTGGCCTGAATGTCCAAGAAATTTTCATAGAAAATATTCATCCTCCGACAGGAATCAAACCTGTATCCTATACAGAACCGTCATATAGCCTGACGTGCATTTAACCGATTTGGCCACAGAGGAATGTTCGGTTAGCAAGGTCGATTTTACTGTCTTTAAACTACAATCTTCCATGATTTTCTCACATACATTCATATCTGCTCATGGCATATCTAAATGTAAACAAATGACATCACACATTTTGAAATGGACAAAGTCTGACAATTATTTTAAGACATTTTTATGTTTATACATTCTTTTTATCGATATAAACATAAAAATGTCTTAAAATAATTGTATTGTAGTTTAAAGACAGTAAAATCAACCTTGCTAACTGAATGGTCCTCTGTGGCCAAATCGGTTAAAGGCATGTCAGGCTATATGACGTTTTCGTATAGGATACAGGTTTGATTCCTGTCGGAGGACGAATATTTTCTATGAAAACTTCTCGGACATTCAGGCCGGTAAATGGTGTTTAATACTGTTTATTATGAACAGAGCTTTTACTCAAATATTTGTATCTATAAAAAGAATGTATAAACATAAAAATGACTTAAAATAGTTGTCCGACTTTGTCCATTTAATAATAATAATAATATATATATTATATATATATATATATATAATATATATTTACCTGGACTCACATGAGTTCAACAAATATTGGTTGCAGAACAAATGTATCAGGTGCCATTAAATGTTTATAGAAAAATATCCACACTCCACAACCAAAATGATGATTCCTGCAACACTATATATATATATATATATATATATATATATATATATATATATATATATATATATATAATTGATATAATAATATACATTTATATAAATAATGATTGCCTACAAAACCTGTTGATTTTGGACAGATAAAATATAATAGCAATGAAAAAAAATTACAAGATATAAAAGCTAACTATAATAATGACCATTTATTTTCTTCCACAATCTGGAATGTTAAAAAGTTAAAATTACAAAAATTATTGGATTGAAAATTAAAGGATATAGGAAATTTTTCTGTCAAACAATTTGTGTATAAAGAGAATAAGTATGACTCTTAAAGCCTCTTTGTCAGTAATAACAACAAGGGAACAAAAACTATTTATAGAATAAAATGTCATTAGCTATTTATGTAAAAACAAATAAGGTTCATAGAAAATTCAGTAAAATCAATAAAAAAAAATATTTCTTGAAATATATCCATGATATGTATGGTACATAACTAAAGTAGTAAAATTTAACATTCAAACTGAATTTAAATTTTTTTTACAGAGGAAACAAGATTTATTTAAAAAATAAATAAAAATGATTTGGAAGATAATTGAACTGTCTTAAAAATATATTTTGTTTAAATTATACTTAAAAATATATTTTGTTTAAATTATACTAAGTAATATATTTTGTTCAATAAAATATTAGTCAATAAACACTTGTTTTAACTAAAGCATGCTTTACATTGGGTAATATCAAAAGTACAGTGTACATATTGAAAATATTGAATCATTAAATTATTAAAAAACACTCCATTCTTTTAAATCTATGCTACAACAAAGGACATTAATATGTATATATATGTATGCCCAGTTTAAACACCCAAACTACAATATTTAGATACTTAAAACTATATATATTCTTATTCAGCATGTTTCTAGAAAGATTTTGAAAAACTATTTGTATTCTCTTTACATAACTGAAGATATTTGTAAATTAAAGATATGTAATGGTTAGTATTATATAATGTAGCAAAATATATACCAATATTTTAACACTTCCAATTTAAACCCAGTGTCAATTTTTTTAAAAATAAACAGTGACAAAATTATTGAATGAATTATAAATGTATGAATTAATTGAAGAATATTTTTGTTTCATAAAGAGTGATTTTTTACCATTAATAAATTACCATTAATAAATTATTATGTAAAGATGTAAATATAAAAAATAAACTTTTAACAAAAAAAATTAAACAAGTTTCTATATATTTACAAACATAAATAACCTATGTTATTCAATTATTTTTTTAAATAAATGGTAGCAAAAATTAAATAAAAATGAGAAGATTAAAAGAATACATGGGCAATCATTTTATTTAAGCAAGGGCTTATTTAAAATTAAAAACATTTTTCGATAAAAGATAATAGATTCTTATACATTACAAAACCAAATGTCTACCTTTTATACATCAGAATATTATTATGCATAAAAAATCTTTAAAAAAAGATAATTATTAAATGAAAAAAGTTTTAACTTACAAATACCTTCACTGAAATATTATCTATATATTAATAAACTTGTATATACATATGGTGTGTGTCATGCTAGATATTACAGATGCTAAGAGGGAAATAGAATATAAAGAGGGACATAGAGAAATAAAAAGAGAGTGTGACACAGTGAAGGATTGGAGGAAGTGTCCTCTTAGATAAAGGCAGTTGTTTGTAGTGAGGGGTTAAATCATGCTTCATGACCTGCTGGTTGAAGACATTTCAGTATTTTTAAGAGAGCTAGGAAACACAATTACATACCCACATACATACCATATTAAAACAAACTTAACTTTATTTTCTACCCAATAACAGACAATATTTACAAACATGCCAAAAAGATTCCACAATGCAGAACACACTATTTAAATCAAAGTGTCTTTTGCTTAGAAATTAACATTACCGTGTAAAATATCTGACCAATTAGAGAAGAGTAAAACCCTATTTTTCTCAAACTTGCATTCAGGAAAATTTTATTATAAAAAACCTACAGATTTTGATTTTCAGGAGCAGAGATGTGACTGTCCCCAAGCTGTTAAAGCATAAGAGAAGATGTGGCTACATAGCTTTTTTTCTCCTCCAAAGTTTTAATGACTTCAAACAAATCTTTTCCAACAACAAGAGCAGGAGTGAATTTTCTCTGATGATAAAAGTTTTTCCTCAACTACAATTCTGACTGTGGACCTACTACTAAAAGTCTTTTCTAAACAACAGATTTTTCTGTGGACCAACTACCCAAAGACTAACTCAAATAAAAACTATTTTTACTCCTTTTTGACTTCATGTATATGTGTTTATAAATACAAATGATTTATTTAATAGGTATACCCATGTTTTTTTTAATTTTTATTTTATGATTATTTGGAATTCTGACATTCAGATTTTTAATATAACAAAAATCTGGATGACAGAATTTCTCACAGAGAGACTATGTCTCTTTTCATATAACTATCTAGAAATGGTCATGGCTTGAAAGATACAGAGTGCAGCATTAAAATATTTATTAGTAAACCTGGGTAATTTACATGGGTCCTGCTAATTATTATTAATAAACATAATATGAAATAAATAATACATATCATTTAAAAGATGTAAAACAACTGGAAGTTAACATATTTCAAGATGAGCAGAATTTTTGTCAAGAAGGTGTACTCAACAGGGAACTGAACCAAAAATAGTCAATAAATTAATAAAGGTTCAATCAACTTCAAAATTGTGTTCCTGTTCATCAGGATCAGAAGGTCAGATTTGCAGTGAATTGGGGAAACTCTGAAGTTGGTTGAAAGAGGCAACTGAATTTTTATTACTTTATTCATTATTATGAATATTATCATGATTCTATACATTACTGGTGTTGTTTTGATATTATACACAGGCAGTGATATGTAACACTGCTAGTTTTAAATATTTCTTGAAATTGTTCACATTCTTTTTCATTACTAATGCTATTAAAGATTATGTTATTCACAAAATATGCATAAAAATGAATACCTTTGAAACTAAAGAAAATAAAATATTATAATTCTACTTATTAGTTAGTTAACATATATTTCTGTCATGCCAATATCTCATAAATAATGGACTATTCTGTTTTGATTGTGAGGAAAAATAGAAAAGACATATTAGAGATGCTGTTTGGTTTTGGTGAAAAAACAAAAAAGACAATAGAGGAGGTAGTATCACACTCACATATTTAACGTCTACTTCAGTTAAATGAAAACAAATTTGGCAACTTTTAATCTTTTCATTTGTAATGATTGCTTCTTCATACTTATAATTGTTATTGCAATATTTTGTTAAATTGTTAAGCTCAAATATTTAATGATGCAATCTGGGAATTTCATCGTGTATTTTAGTCATGGAACTGGCAACAAGCTTATACAATAATTAAATTAAGAATTATAATTCATCATAAAATTCAAATATCAAAACCATGAAATTTTAACATGTACTACTCATATTAAGATAACAATTAAGATATGATAAAAATGTCATTAACTCACCTTGAACAATTCGATAGATAGGATGAAACTGTATTAGAAGGCACTGATCTCCACCATATCTTTTGGTACTTACTCTGTTATTAAAAAGATTATTTTCAAAATATGAATTTGTAAAATGTTAGAATTTAAGCCTGAATTTTATTAAAGTGAATTCATTTTTGTTCTTCTCCATAAAATCATTCATAAAAATTCAAAATATACAACACAAATGTATCATAAAACCTTGTACAGAAAACATGAAGATTAATATAAAATATTAAATAAAGTTTAGTTTAGTTTATTATTTTATTACTTGCTCATATCATCCTCAGGACAACATGACTAGCAGTCACAAATATTTAGTCAACAGATATAGTTTTAACTAGTTTACCCATACTACCAAAAGAGATCAGTTTATTACATAATAACAATAGAAAACAGATCTTCCAAATGTCAATTAGAATCATATTAATATCACTTTGCCCATGATGTTAAAAATTGCTGACATATTTGGTTCATTCTTTACTGTTATTAGTCTTTAAAAATATGTTCCCTAATTATAAATGTTAGGTTTTACTCTTTCATGAAAGAATTTTTTTCTTCTCTTGTCTTCATAAACATCTTTAAACAGTCTTATAAGATAGGAAGTGTAAGGAAGATAACCATTACAACAAAAAGTTATAGACAAAATACAGCCATTAACACAATTATAGGGTAAGTCTATAAAAGTTAGAAATATAATTGAAACTCATTTATATTATCATTTAAAGAAAAAGAACCAATCTATTCAAGTAAATTTAAACTTTTTGCTTTTATAACTGCCTTTATGCACCTTTGCATATTGAAGACCAGCTTAAATTGGCTTGATTTTGTGCCATTCTTCATAAAGTTTGGCTCCTAATTCGTGTTTTGAAGAATATTTGTGCACCCTCACTCTTGTACTGAAGCATGACCACATATATTCAATGGGATTCAGGCCAGGGGATTGAGGAGACTACTTCATTACACTTACTTCTTTCTTTTTGTTATAGACAAGCGTATGGTTGCAAGAAGGAAATACGACAACAGCAGAAATAGATTTACGTGATTTATTTCAATAGGAACGTGTGGTTTTGGGACAGCTACCTTGTGGTATAGTTCATAAGCGTGCTCCCAGTCTGGGTTGATCTCTCATAGTAGTTCACACTGGTTGGCGTGGTGCTCCTCCTGCTGACTGCTGCTGACTGACCGTGACTGCTGTTGTACTTCCCCATGTGACCCCTTTTATGGCGTTTTTTATGGCTTAACAGGCTCGAAAAACGACGCGAGTATAATTAGGAGGGAAACATTTTTATTGGTCAGAAAATAGAAACACTTTAAAATATTATTTTATTTTTTGACTGGAACTCGTGCATCGGGCTTATGCGTAGACAACGATAATGGTCATTTTGTGATGGGGCCTTGTCCCGTTCACATCTGGCCCTCACTCTTGAGTATGTTAGTTTATTTGCCTGCAAATCAGCTGAGATATGTTTTATTTTATTTTGTAACATTTTCAAACCAAACCTTTGAAACTCTGGATGGGTGGCATGGTACATGTACATTGTCTTATTAGAAGATTACTCAATCAGGTATGCTATTGTTGAAAATTTTCTCTAATGAAGGTTGGTAACATTGGTCTAACATGCTTGTATAAGTGTTGGAATGTGTGTGAATAACATTCCTGTCCAAGAAGATGACATGCAGTGCCAAAGCATTATGCTCACACCTCCAAATTTTAAGGTTGAGGAAATACATTGAGCATCAGATGCTTCCCCAACTCTTCAATGAACATAAACAACTCTAGGGGTTCCAAAAATCTGATAAAAATCAAAATTTTAGGGATAATTTTCTATTCAATAAAAATGTAGTATTAATAGGTGTAATAAAATCAATTAGGCTCAATAAATTAGTTTCAACTAATAAAGGAACTTACTTCAAAATTGCTTTCATCAGACGAAACAACTTTTGCCATCCAATTTTCATGCTCTTTTGCAAAAGAAAGTCTCTTTTTCTTATTAACCTCAGGCAGCAATGTTTTTTTTTCTAGCTTTATATCCTTTGAGGCAAGCTTCTACTAACCTTTATCTCATTGTTTCAGTCAATATCACTTTCTTTGTTGCCTCTTGAAATTCAGTAGTCACATTAGAAGAGTTTTTTTTTTTTATCGCCTAGAGATACCCTCTTTAACAGTCTGTCTTCCCTTGAGTTTGTACACATTTTCCGGTCTTGACCATCTCAATTTTTGAAAGAATTGGTTTTATTATATCTTTTAATGTTGTTTATACACCATTTCTTGAGTATTTCAATTTTCTTGCAATTTTCACCTGGGATAACCTCTCTTTGAACAATGCAATGATTTCAGCAGTTTTAGTTTCAGGAATGTTTTTCTTCAGAGACATTTTCAACAAAGAAGAAGCACTTATTAATTGATATTAAACTAAAAAATTAGAAAAGATTTAGCACTACAGATTAAGTTTCATATAAATGGTTTTGCCACTTATGCAAAATAAGTAAAAATGAAAAGAAATAATTATTGGTATCCATAAATGCCAGTGAAACATCAATCCAAAAAAGCTTATTATAGTGTTTTCAACTAATATATGTACAAGTTTCAACCATATTTCTAACTTTTCTACACCTGTCCCATAATTTTGTCCATGGGTGTATATTCAAATATACATGTGTATTATATATAATAATTATCGCAAATACAATAAAGAACAAGTACAATAATATTAAACACAGAATTGTTTTAATACCATGTATTTCAGGATGTAAGCAATCACAACACTTCACAACTTCTTTTTTTCTTTAATATGGGTAAATAAACATGAATTTTTTCAGCTGTTATCTCCATGGTTTTAAATTCAGATTAGCTCTTCTCTCAAAATGATTACCACCCAAGACTAGAGAGCCCAGTCTACATTGTTATATTAACACATAACTGGAGGTAGTGGAACAAGAGATGGATTCATGCCTTTCCCAAAGGCATTAATGTAAAGTCAATGCAAAAGACTAGACCAGAATTTGAACTTGGTTTACCAATCTCACATTCTGTATGGATAACTGTTATGCTACCCTGTATCTAGAATATAAAAGTAAAAAGTAACAACAAATAACTAATATGATAATACTAAGAGTAAATTTATATCAATGGTGATAATAACATTGCCAGAGCATGATAGAATGAGATGTGTTTGATAAAATCAGACAAGTGGTCATTTGAATGTAACTGGTCTGCAAATTGTGTGTCATTATAACAGTAACAGTCCCATTAATTTGTAGTATGAAATTTATAAATAAGTTAAGTTTGTCGATCCAATTAACTAGAGGAGAAGTGTTTGATAAAGTCAGACAAGTGGTTATCTGAAGGTACCAGGTCTGCAGATTGTGTGTCATTCAAATACATTAATCCAAAACATTGGACACTGTAACATTGCACTGTTAAAGTTCGTTCATGTTCCATCAATTAGGAATTTTCTTTAAATTCTATTAAGTACAAAACATAATCTTTCCCTCATGGAATCTTTTTAACTCATAGATGTAGCCTCGATTTTCTTTGTTTTTTATTCTTCTAGGAAATGTTTCATTACATCACATGTTTTTATTATATCTTATCCAACAGTTTCTTTTTCTCTGTTGAGCAAAAAGAGAAAGACAAGTGCCTAAACAATGCCCAATGTGCCTATCTGTATGTTTATGCCAAAGACATTTTTGAAGATTCTGTTTTTTTCCTAAATCTTGTTATATACTTAACTAATGGTACAAGCAATTACAATCTGAGTTAACTTCAAAGATACTTCTTAACATTTTACAAAAAGATTGTGCCCCAAACTTTTGGTTAAGTCAAAAGGGGTAAAAATTTCATATCACAACTCATAACTCTTCACCTGCAAAAAGCCAAGCAATCCTATGTTCCAAATTAGAACTCTTTTATATGGGTAAGAAAGGATATGATGAGTTGAAACTGGTAAGGAAGCACAAAAAATTACCATATTTCCATGCCTACTAAAGTTCATGCAGTCTTGATTCTGGTTTTCATTTTTTACATAGTACAAAGAATAAAAATTATTTTTTATCTCTTGTTTCCTGCCAAAGATTGAGTTTCCAGTTCTTTGTAAAGTTTTTTTTCTTTTTCTTTCTCTTCCAGTGGCCTATTGCATCTTAGTTGCTTTATCACCTTGCTTGGAGTGGCGTTTCTTACTCTGTAGCCCTCTACCTCAAGTCACACTTGGGCTATGTACAGGATGAATATGATTGTAAAAAAAAAATAAATAAAAAACAGAAAACAACATGGTTTTCTCCATTACCAGAGAATTATAATAATATTGGTCAAAATGGAAAATGTAAAGGATGAAGAAGATGGCTTAGAGAATTTGACATTTCACAGGAGGGACAGAGAGAAACATCCGGTAACCTACCTAATGATTTGTGTGCATGGATGGAAGAAGAGCAAGTGGGAGGAATAGTTAAAAGTGACATTACTAAAAGGGATAGGAAGTTGTGGAGAACCATGATTGACTATGTCTGTAAGGGGCACAGTAGATAAAATTACCACAGTAGATAAAGTAGATTATTTTTTTTTCAATGGTGATTTCATTAAAGTATTTTGTAGAATTCGTCTTGTTATATTTTAAAATATTACTGTAAATGCTTCTCTAAGGAGAATCTAAGTGAGAAAGTATTGTATATTAATGTTGTATACATATATATATGGTTGCACAAGAAATGAAATAAGATACCACCAGTGAGGCAGAAAGAAAAGAAGACAAGAATTGTTAAGATAAAATTCTATGTATTGCTGATATAGAGCATCAAGGCAGAATGTCTCTTTGTGGGTGAAGGAAGCAACCTGGAAAATAGGGAGAATCAGTAGGGCTTGGAGTAGATGCATGTGTTGAGTTGGTTGACCAAGATCACATGGTGACATTGACAACTTACCTGCTCATCAATAATTGCATTCAGTAAAGTGAGTAGTAACCTTAAAAGCAGGTGGGATGGATGACTCAGTGTTCTTTGTCATGTTTGCTTTACTGGCAACATTTGTGATTAGCTCCTTTTAAATTGTATTTTATATTTCATTGTTATGTCTTATTACAAGCATACATGCATTAAGTCATAACCATTGTTATAAGAACTACATAACCAGAAAATGCCTTAACAAAGACTTTCAGAAAACAGTGACCTGCAATGGGGTTAACATTATATAAGAAAAGACCAAATCAAAGTAGGTTACAAATACATATTGAAGTGAGTATTAAGGGAAGCAATAATTACATGAAGAGTGTTCCAATTAAGGGAACTTATGAAGATAGCAAAGTTATTTTCATGACTTATTATGCAAAGACAGGAATTAAGTCATTTACATGTCTTATGATGGAAAGAGATGTGCTAAGTCATTTTCATGCCTCATTATACAAAGAAATGTATTAAATCATTTTCATGCCTTATTATGCACAGACATGTATTAAGTCATATTCATGTCTTATTATGCAAAGACATGTATTAAGTCATTTTCATGTCTTATTATGCAAAGGCAGGTATTAAGTCATTTTCATGTTTTATTATACAAAGACATGGATCAAGTCATTTTCATGTCTTATTATGCAAAGACATGTATTAAGTCATTTTCATGTCTTATTATGCAAAGACATGTATTAAGTCATTTTCATGTCTTATTATGCAAACACATGTATTAAGTCATTTTCATGTCTTATTATACAAAGACATGTATTAAATCATATTCATGTCTTATTATGCAAACACATGTATTAAGTTATTTTCATGTCTTATTATACAAAGACAGATATTATGCCATTTTCATGTCTTATGCAAAGACATGTATTAAGTCATTTTCATGTCTTATTATACAAAGACATGGATCAAGTCATTTTCATGTCTTATTATGCAAAGGCATGTATTAAGTCATTTTCATGTCTTATTATGCAAAGAAATGTATTAAGTCATTTTCATGTCTCATTATGCAAAGACATGTATTAAGCCATTTTCATGTCTTATTATGCAAAGACATGTATTAAGTCATTTTCATGTCTCATTATGCAAAGACATGTATTAAGTCATTTTCATGTCTCATTATGCAAAGACATGTATTAAGTCATTTTCATGTCTCATTATGCAAAGACATGTATCAAGTCATGTTCGTGTCTTATTATGCAAAGACATGTATCAAGTCATGTTCGTGTCTTATTATGCAAAGACATGTATCAAGTCATGTTCGTGTCTTATTATACAAAGACATGTATCAAGTCATGTTCGTGTCTTATTATGCAAAGACATGTATCAAGTCATGTTCGTGTCTTATTATGCAAAGACATGTATCAAGTCATTTTCATGTCTTATTATGCAAAGACATGTATCAAGTCATGTTCGTGTCTTATTATGCAAAGACATATATTAAGTCATTTTCATGTCTTATTATGCAAAGACATGTATTAAGTCATTTTCGTGTCTTATTATGCAAAGACATGTATTAAGTCATTTTCGTGTCTTATTATGCAAAGACATGTATCAAGTCATGTTCGTGTCTTATTATGCAAAGACATGTATCAAGTCATTTTCATGTCTTATTATGCAAAGACATGTATCAAGTCATGTTCGTGTCTTATTATACAAAGACATGTATCAAGTCATGTTCGTGTCTTATTATGCAAAGACATGTATCAAGTCATGTTCGTGTCTTATTATGCAAAGACATGTATCAAGTCATGTTCGTGTCTTATTATGCAAAGACATGTATCAAGTCATGTTCGTGTCTTATTATGCAAAGACATGTATCAAGTCATGTTCGTGTCTTATTATGCAAAGACATGTATCAAGTCATGTTCGTGTCTTATTATGCAAAGACATGTATCAAGTCATGTTCGTGTGTCTTATTATGCAAAAGACATGTATTAAGTCATATTCATGTCTTATTATGCAAAGACATGTATTAAGTCATATTCGTGTCTTATTATGCAAAGACATGTATTAAGTCATATTCGTGTCTTATTATACAAAGACATGTATTAAGTCATATTCATGTCTTATAATGCAAACACATGTATTAAGTCATTTTCATGTCTTATTATGCAAAGGCTGGTATTAAGTCATTTTCATGTCTTATTACACAAAGACATGTATTAAGTCATTTTCATATCTTATTACACAAAGACATGTATTAAGTCATTTTCATGTCTTATTACACAAAGACATGTATTAAGTCATTTTCATGTCTTATTATACAAAGAAATGTATTAAGCCATATTCATGTCTTATTATGCAAAGACATGTATTAAGTCATTTTCATGTCTTATTATACAAAGGCAGGTATTAAGTCATTTTCATGACTTATTATACAAAGACATGTATCAAGTCATGTTCGTGTCTTATTATGCAAAGGCAGGTATTAAGTCATTTTCATGTCTTATTATGCAAAGACATGTATCAAGTCATGTTCGTGTCTTATTATGCAAAGACATGTATCAAGTCATGTTCGTGTCTTATTATGCAATGACATGTATCAAGTCATGTTCGTGTCTTATTATGCAAAGACATGTATTAAGTCATGTTCGTGTCTTATTATACAAAGACATGTATCAAGTCATGTTCGTGTCTTATTATGCAAAGACATGTATCAAGACATATTCGTGTCTTATTATACAAAGACATGTATCAAGTCATATTCATGTCTTATTATGCAAAGACATGTATCAAGTCATGTTCGTGTCTTATTATGCAAAGACATGTATTAAGTCATTTCATGTCTTATTATGCAAAAGACATGTATTAAGTCATTTTAAAGTGTCTTATTATGCAAAAGACATGTATTAAGTCATTTTCATGTCTTATTATGTCAAACAAAGATGTATTAAGTCATTTTCATGTCTTATTATGCAAAGAAATGTATTAAGCCATATTCATGTCTTATTATGCAAAGACATGTATCAAGTCATGTTAAATGTCTTATTATGCAAAAGACATGTATCAAGTCATGTTCAAAATTTATTATACAAAGACATGTATCAAGTCATGTTCGTGTCTTATTATGCAAAGACATGTATCAAGTCATGTTCGTGTTCTTTATTATGCAAAGACATGTATCAAGTCATGACATGATTCATTGTGTTCAGTATTATGCAAAGACATGTATCAAGTCATGTTCGTGTCTTATTATACAAAGACATGTATCAAGTCATGTTAAATGTCTTATTATACAAAGACATGTATCAAGTCATGTTCGTGTCTTTTATACAAAGACATGTATCAAGTCATGTTAATGTCTTATTATACAAAGACATGTATCAAGTCATGTTCGTGTCTTATTATGCAAAGACATGTATCAAGTCATGTTCGTGTCTTATTATACAAAGACATGTATCAAGTCATGTTCGTGTCTTATTATGCAAAGACATGTATCAAGTCATGTTCGTGTCTTATTATGCAAAGACATGTATCAAGTCATGTTCGTGTCTTATTATGCAAAGACATGTATCAAGTCATGTTCGTGTCTTATTATGCAAAGACATGTATTAAGTCATTTTCATGTCTTATTATGCAAAGACAATTATCAAGTCATGTTCGTGTCTTATTATGCAAAGACATGTATCAAGTCATGTTCGTGTCTTATTATACAAAGACATGTATCAAGTCATGTTCGTGTCTTATTATGCAAAGACATGTATCAAGTCATGTTCGTGTCTTATTATGCAAAGACATGTATCAAGTCATGTTCGTGTCTTATTATGCAAAGACATGTATCAAGTCATGTTCGTGTCTTATTATGCAAAGACATGTATCAAGTCATGTTCGTGTCTTATTATGCAAAGACATGTATTAAGTCATATTCGTGTCTTATTATACAAAGACATGTATTAAGTCATATTCATGTCTTATAATGCAAACACATATATTAATCAACTTCATGTCGTATTATGCAAAGACGTGTAAGTCATTTTCATGTCTTATGCAAAGACACGTATTAAGTCATTTTCCTGTCTTAATATACAAAGACAAGTATTAAGTCATTTTCATGTCATTATGCAGTGTCATGTATTAAGTTATTTTCATGCCTTATTATGCAAAAACATGTATTAAGTCATTTTCATGCGTTATTATGCAAAGATATGTATTAAGTCATTTTCATCTCTTGTTATGCAAAGATATGTATAAAGTCCTTGTCATATCTTGATATGTGAAGACAGATGAAGTCATTGACATGTCTCATTACAGGGGAACATGTTTTATGTGTAGTTATTAAAAATATATTTCCAAAATATGTAAAGAAAATTTTATGTCTCTAAAAAGTAGAAACAAGTAAAAGAAACTTCAAATTTTTCATTTATTGAAAAACTTTGAAAGAATATCTTACCTCCATCCACAGTCAGAAGCAAAGCAATAAAGATTTCTACCTTCAAAGTAAATCAAAGTCACACAGGGTCCATTATAAGAGGAGACATGATAAGAAAATCTGAAAACAAAAAGACAACATATTATTTTCTCACTAGCATTTTAGCTAGTGAGAAAATAAAACATGACAAAAACTGTAATATTTACAAAATCATTTCAAGAAACCAATATATCTTTTATTAAAAACATTTCATAAAATTATTTTTGTATTTATTTTTCATATTTTCAGTTGTGGGGGTTACACTCACTTTGTCTCTTAATACACCTGCTACCTGTCACTGTTAAGGACTATAAAAGCAAAGGTATTAAACACTTTTCATTTTTTTTTCTATGGAATGTAAGAATGAAATTAACTGAATTTCTTTCTACTGGGGAGATTTCTTCATTTGGTAGCTGTGGTAATTTCAAGCAGCCAGGTGTCACATCATACATTACACCCATACACTGACAGTAATGCTTATGTTTCTTTACATTTTCACCTAGAAACACACAAGTATATTTTCTCTCTTTTTGAGTTATGTTATTCTTTATAAAAAAAATTCCACATGTGGATTGTGTTTCTTATAAAATATTGAATTTATTCAGTTTGAAAGTTTTCATCTTTATCAGCAATATATCATAACTCCTCCCTCTACTAAGTGGTAATTAACAGCAACCTCATCCATTACTAAACTGTAGCACCTATTCATTACACTATCAATCAGAATCTTTATATGATATGTTATTCTTTATATAAAATTCATGAAAATGTTGAATTCATTTACTTCATCCTCCTTAGCAACAAGTCATAGCTCCTCATTCTACTGACTGATAACCAATACTAACTTTATACTTTACTAACCAGCAGAATTTACACACAATGCTATAATGGCAAAAATCAAAAACATAAATGATAATGACCTGTTCATGGACAATCCATGATCGTTGCTAGAATAGATGAGATTCCATATCTGGCAATGAGGCAGGCGTGCCTATAAATAACACAAAATACAGGTATGTTAATGATATCTAATGTTTATTCAATCTTTGGAGAAATCATTTAATTTTATATTTAAGAATATACATTGTTTTAAATTTATTTAAGCTGTCAAAAAACACAAATCATATACAATAAAATAAAAGATTATTTATAATAGGGTTGACTAAAATGTAATACCTATTCTTCTTTAATTACAATATAGTTATTAAGAGAAGCCTACAAACAGGGCCAGATTATGACCTTTTGCAGCCCCTAGTCTATTGAAATTATGAACCCCACTCAGCTAGAACCATGCTCTAAATTGCCTGAACCAGTCTTGAATATTTTTACTCGTGATATATTTTACTGACATCTATATAACTTGAAGTAAACTTATTGCAATTTCTTTCAATAAACTAAAATAGTTATCTTTTGATTGTCAATAAAAATCTTCTTTAAGAAATACCACTATTTTACTATTTATTGCAAAGTAAATTAGACTATTGCACAGTAAATTAGCACACATTTTAACACAACTGTAGGAAAAAAAACAGATTTTTTTAACTAGCATTATAACAATAAAACAATTAAAATAAATATGAGTTTATCATATTGATATCATTTCAGTTTATGAAACTATTTAGAAGTTATAACAGCTAGAAAATTAAACATTGCTTTATAAAAGCTTAAGGGGCCCCAGGTTGCAGCCTGTACTAGCCTAAAGGATAAACTGGTCCTGGGCCCTAAGCTGCAGCTTATACTAGCCTAAAGGATAAACTGGCCCTGGGCCCTAAGCTGCAGCTTATACTAGCCTAAAGTATAATCTGGCCCTGCATACAAACTATAACAAAAAGAAAACACACTATTCCAAATCTATTTCTCAACAGTTTCTTTTACAAGAATGGTACTCCATCTTTGGATATAGCAGTGTGGAACTTCAGGGTTAAAATGAACAATTGATTTACTCATGCCAAGATTAATTGTTTCAAGAAAATAAAATCAGAAATTTTTAAAGTCTGTAGTTTTAATGAATTGTCATGAAGATGAAATGTTCATATAACAGATTAAATGATCTGACACAATAATATTTAAAAATGTTTAAAACAAAGGTAAGAGAGTTTGTTGTTCACAGAAATGATATACAGTTGCATATATTCAAAAGTAGATGAAGAGAGATAGTTTGAAATACTTTCTTGGATTGTTGAAAGAAAATTCTTTGAAGTGCTATGAGCTTGATTAAGGCTGATAATATAATTTGCAAGTAACTTTACACAGGCAAGAACTTGAGCACTGACATGTGAACAAAAACAAAACTTTTCACATGACTTTAGACACTTTTCTCTTGTTAATTTAAGTTTTTCCTCATTGTATATCAAGAAGGATTTCACATAGGCTCACTATTTTCTTTTCTTTCTTGGCTCAATGACTAATTTCTGTGATGACAAAGTTTTGATTGGTCCAAAAGCAATTTCACATAGGCTCGCAAATTTATTTCCTTGTGTTTTCAGCTTCCTGGCCAATCTTTGTGAAAGAAAGGTTTACATTGGTCCAAAGAAAATTTCAATTTCTTTCTATCTTTTTCTTCAGCTCACCTAAATTTGAAAAGAGTGGATAAAGGGAGTTATTATTATTTCATACTCACCACAAAGGCATGCATACCCTCCTCATAGAATATTCTTGACTGCTTTCTTAGTAATGTACAAATTGGTTTTTATATCATCATTGGAGAAACAATGTTCTCTGAATGCCTCCTACATGGAACCAAATAAACTAAAGTCTGGGAACGTCAGATCAGAACAAGTGGCCAGTAACTACCCTCTACTTTTTCATATACACTCTCAACATTCAGGAAACCTACTTTATACAGACCTTTGACTGGCCAATAGATTGTGCTAAAGTACATGGTTTACCTGAAGGCTTTCACATAGTTTTGCAATAGTGATTCTTTTTTAGTTGTAATGAGAGAGTATCAATCAGTTTGGTATTTTCCTTATTCACATTAGCAACAACAGCAGTTTCTTCTTTCTTTCGAGGATTACCATTAACTTTACTGATATATCTCTTTACAATAAGTGCAGCTTTTCAATAAACATTCACTAAGCTCCTGTTTGTAGCATTTCCTATAACAAATTCTATGATAGCTTTTTGCTTTCTATATCTGTCTGAATGGCAGCCATTTTGAAAGATGATTATAGTCATGAAAAGAAAAAAAATAACTCAACAAATTTTTCTCCTGGGCTTCAAGACAATTTTATGTTTTATAGCTAATAAATATAATTTTTTCACCAACATAAACTCCTTTCTTCTCAATTGCATATGCAAGTGTCAGTCAAAATGTAATTCCTTTTTTTTCCTTTATTACAACATAAGTAATAGTAGATGCACAATAAATAAATAAAATACCAAAATTAACTCAAATATCTAAAGAATCCAACTCCAGTTCCCAACATAGTTTCCTTCCTTCTCAATTTTGGTATTCTGCTCTGGAACTAAGCCTTATATTCTCACATTATAGAAACCTCTTGGCTGATTTTTTCTTAGTCACATATGAATTGTCTCATCACCCACATCATTGGATAACTGCTGTTCTATTGAGTTTTATCAATATTATGCAACTCCTGAAGCTTTTGGGTACCAAACATGTGAAGATCTTTCATGGAGTCTCTCAACATTCTGGAAGCCATCAACAGATCTTTGAGTAGTCAACTGACTGTGTTAAACAACAATCACTAACGTGGGTCACTTGAAAACTTTCAAACTTTTTGTAACAGTATTTTTTCTATGTAATGAGAGTATCAAGCAGTTTGGTGTTTTCCTTATTCATAGCAGCTGCTAATTTATTTCCTTGTAAGATGAGACAATTCACAAGCATTTACTATGAATGTTAATAGCATTTTCTCCTGAAATTTTTATTTCCTAAATAAATCCAAAAGGGCAACCATCTTGTAAAAGGATTAGGAAAAGAGAAAGTAATTCCAGTTTTCTTTCTTTCTTTGTTTCCTGACAAATTCTAGACACTTTATGGCTTATAGATAAGGAACAAACAAACAAAATTCTGACTAATACTTTTAAATTATAATAGTCATTGCTCTTTGACTTACCTTTACAGAAGTGTGCTGAAAAGTCATAATCACTCTTATCTTAGAAAAGGTAATGTTTATCTTCAAGAAAAAAATTAACAAATCTGCTTGTCATTAGATTGCTTTCACATACATGTGCTATTCACTGTGTTAACTACAGATGCAAGTCAAAAAGTTATAACTGGAATATAATCATGATGGCAGTCTTAAAAATATATTGTTTGTCAGAATCTGTCTGTAAATTTATATGTCATATTAAAGTAAGCAAGAAAATAAATTATTTAAAAATTATAAGCATTTGTTGATATTCAGGTAAAAATTTAAAATACAAAATCTTTTTTTTATATGCATGTATAATTACATAAGTTAATGTATCAAGAGGGAATTTAAATAATAAAATTAAAAATTGTAAATTACCTTCATTATGAGATCCTGTACACAACTAGAAATTAAAGGATTTGAACTTGATCGAGAAACTGTTACACTTTTACTTGGAATTGTGAGGTAAATTCCTGGTAATGAAATTGACATACACCAGAGAATAGTTTTGTTAATCAAGTAGTGGCCTTTCAGAATATGATCTAGTTCAGGAACTGGTGTTGATACCTAAAACAAAGAATAGAAAAAATATTAACAAGTAAATAATGAATACAATACTTAGTTTTGTTTTAATAATCATTTCAGATCATTCACTTTTTGAAGCATCTTTATTATTCTAAATTAGATCAAATTTTGCATGGTCTAAGTAAGATATTGTAATCATAGTATTCATAGAACTCATAGTCATATACAAATGCTATCTTACTTTATAATAAAATTTAGAATTGGATTTTCTGACAGTAATTTACAATGAAATATACATATTATTTTATAAAACCTTAAAATTTAAATTATACTTCTCCAAAAAAAATATAAACACAAACCCATCACTTCAAAATTAAAAAAAATATCTCTAAGGAAAATTGTTCTTAACCTTTAGCACTCTGCATTATTCACTGGTATTATATCTCCATCTATTGTATACACCTCATTCTCAATTTTAATGAAAGTTGTTTTTGTTGTTACCATAGTAGGACATGGCAACACATCCATGAAATTCAAACACACTATTATTCATCAGAGTCAATTGTAGTGGCAAGAGGTCACATACAGAATGCTAAGAGTTAAACTAAGATGCTCATTATATATGCATAATTGTCATTAAGGGACTTGTATAGTAAGGCAAAGATGACAATACTATAATTCTAGGGGTATATGAAACCAGGTGAGCAAATAATGAAGATTTTGTAAGTGTTATGTATCATGTAAATGTTGTGCCATGCTGGACAGCTCTGAGTAACAGTGAATGGCGTGATAAAATGTACTGTGTACTTATCTGTAGCTACACAAGGTGTGACTAACTCTGACTGCTAGTATCCTTAGGCACTATGTTTTATTGAAATGTGATTGGTCTCTATAAATAGTAACAAGGGAATTAACTCTGTATTTATTAATGTATCATAGTAAGCCATAGATACAGGGTCATATGTTCAGGTAGAAAGAAAAATGAAAGGAAGTGAATTTGTAGATCTTCTGTGATATTGTCAACAGTCTGACAGAATTCTTCTACTTAAACTGAAAGAAAGGAAAGTTGTTTAATATGCCCATTATAATAGTATACAGACCAACAAAAGAAGAAAATTATAAGCTTTAGAGTACATTGAATAATGCCAAGACTCAATGCAAATTGCAGGAAATTACTATCATCATAAGAGATACAAATGTTAAAATAGGAAATGAATAAGACTGTGAAATAGTTGGCAAGAACAGATGAGGGTCCTGTAATGAACACACAGAAAAATAGGTCCAATGGTGTGCAACAAATAATCAAATAATAACCAACATTTGGTTTCAAGCTGAATGCTTTGCCTGTAAATTCTTCTCAAACTTTACTCTTGACTCATCTAGAGTATCCCTGCCTAATTTCCCACTTCGAACTGATTTTCTGTTGAGTGAAAGGCATATAACCCTTTCTATGGTTTCTGCTATCATCTCTAACCTAGATTCCCACAAAGCACATGGACCCGATGGCATCTCTGTAACAATTGTGCTCCTGAACTGGCTCCTGTTCTCTCTAGACAGTATAACAAATGCCTCACTGCCTCCTGCTTTTCTGCCTGCTGGAAGTCATCATCTGTTGTTCCAGTTTTTAAGAACTCTGGTGAACTGTCCAACCCATTCAACTATTGACCTATTAACCTTTAACCTCTTTTTGGGAAACATCTAGAGGTCCTAATCAATGCTGAATTGGTCCATCAACTCTCATTGTAGGGCCTTTTTCTTAGACAAGCAATATGGCTTTCATTTCTGCAGGTCAACTGCTGATGTACTAATGATAATTGTGGAAAGAGTATACAATGCTCTAGATAAAAACGGTGAAACATTGGATATCTTGAAAGCCTTTGACATAGTCTGGCATTCAGATCTTCTCCACAAGCTGAAAAGCTACGTTATCTCTGGAAACGTTTTTGCGCTGATCCAGTCATTCCTATCAAATCATGAAATGAAAGTTGCCTGAATAGCCACTTGTCTACATCCTTTTGTACTAATGTGATTGTTCCCTTGGGCTCCATCCTTGGGCTCCATCCTTGGTCTTACACTGTTTTTAATCTTTATTAATGACATTCCTGATGACATCAGCTCTCAAATAGGCATCTATGCTGATGATTGAAAACTAAACTTCTTCCTATCAATTATTTGAGAGACCTCTCTCTGCCTTCCATCAGCATGGCTGATGTTATCCTCCAGAAAAGTGACTTGTTGCACTTTCTCAGGCTAAAGTTCTCAGCTGATAGTGGAAAGACTATATCGAATCCATTGCCAGGTCAGCTACTAAGAAAGTCAGTTCACTGTGTTGGGCAAGACAATTCTTCTCTCCTGAATCTATCTTGCATATCTATGTCTACCATTCAACCATGCTTAGAATATTGCCACCATATATGGTCCAGTGCTCCTGCTATTTAACTGGAGCTCCTTGATAAAATCTAAAGAAGAATCACCAATATTATTAGTCCTGATCTGGCAGCTTGGCTTCATTTACTTGCCAACTGCTGTAAGGTTGCCTTTTTTATAAATACTTTCATAATTTTTTGGATGAACTCATCGTTATGTTACCTAGACTGTATGAATTTAAGTGCAATAGTAGACTGGCATTGAGATCTCATCAATTTAAAGTTGATCTAGCTAGATGTAGTCATAGCTTCTATGCTACCAGTTTCCTTTTTCACACTTCTCATTTGTGGAACTCCCTTCCAGCTCCATACTTTCCAGTCAACTTTAATCTGCAAAAATTTAAATGTAATGTCATCTATCTGCTGTCCTCCTGATCGCTCTTTTCTACTTATTACTAATGTTTCTGTTCCTAATTCCTCTATACCCTGTAACCCCTTGTGTCTTAGTGGCTCCGCTGCCTTGCTTGGGGTGATACCAATTTAAAAAAAAATAATCTAAGACACTTGTTGACATAGAAAAGCTCAGGAGGAGACACAAATAATCATTATCAACTATACGACAATCAACAAAAGATTCAAGAATGCTGTTTTACACTGTAAAACCTATCCAAGTGCTAACTATAGGAATGACCACCTTCTGGTCATATCACATGTAAATGCAGACTTAAATTACGGAAATTGGAACTTTGGGAAAGCCAAAGCAATAGCTAGACTAAAATATGACAGACTCTTAATTGACCCAATTTCAAAGAGATGTAATCTGAAGGAAAATATAATCTTTGATTAGACTGCAAATTCAAAGTCAAATATCTTAAGAGAAACTCTAGTGAGATCAGTGAACAAGATAATCCTGAGGAAAGTGATACAAGAAAAAAAAAGTGGATGACGGATGAAATTCTTGAGATGATGAAAAGTGGCAGTAAATAATACCACGAATAGTACAGAATATAGAATATTAAATGCAAACATTAGAAGCAGACAGACAAAATATAAATGTCTTAATGAAAACTGTATAGATATAGAAAGAAAGAGCATCATAGTCAAAGTAGGTGTATAAAATAAAGGAATAAAAGAAATAACAGGATGATGACATGCTCCTCAACAAGATGCATAAAATCTAAAGAGAGAATGTTCATAATATACAAAAGAAAAGATAAAACAAATTCATTAGAAAAACTCCTACAATGAAAATGACTGAGGTAAGACTGATACAATAGGAACAAATCAGCAAGACCAAATGATTTATTTGGGAAAGATATGAGAAAAATCCAGACTATTTACTGGGAGCAAACTATCTACATGTGGACAGAAACTGAACTGAGCAAGGTCACAAAAATAGAGAGGAGTGTAAGATAAGGATGTCACTTCTCACCAACTTTATTTAACCTTTACAATAAAGCAATCCTAAGAGAAGAAGAAGTCTTACCAGGATTTGTTTGAAACAAAGAAAAAAGTGCTGTACTTCTATGTAAAATCAATCCTCCTAGTCAACTTTCTCACAGATGTAATTGAAGTAGATAGGTTTGATATCATCTGATTCACACTCTTCCCTGGTCTTTTGAATAAGAGTAGAGGTTTATCCTTTGTTTCTTGTTTAGGATTAGGGTTTCAGATTCCTTCTAAAGTTTTCTCATTCTCTTTCACCACTACCAGTAGTCCCCTCTGTCTTAGTGACATTATCACCTAGCTTGGGGTGAAGTGATTTAAAAAAAAAAAAAAAAAAGAAGTGTAATTTAAAAAATTTTTTTTTATTTATTTACTAATTGATTTATTTATTAGGTTGAGCCATAAATAATGCTCATTTTTGTTTATCAGCTTTATTGTTTAAAAAATAAAGAACAATTACATTTTATCTAATTAAATATTCACCATTATTTGCAATGATTTGTTGTTACTTTTCAATCAGATTAAAATTCTGCAGGTTTTGATGTGAAAAAGTTTTCAACAAAGTCTTGAATCTGGTTTTCGTTAAGGAAAATTTTCCTCATTACAGAATTTTGGAATGATCAAAAAATATAATACGTGGAGGAAGAATAGATTAATCAAGTTAGAAAAGATTTTCTTTTGTTATCCTTGTATGTGGCCCTGCATTTACATAGAGAACAAGACTTCCTTTAATCTACTGTGTATGCTGTCATAGCCATGACAAAATTAAGGTATGCTAGTCTACTCCAGATTTATTCTTAACTGCTACATATGATTAGCAGCTTGGATGATACATCCATCATCTGGTCTGGTATTCCTGCTATATATCTTGAGATTTTTAACAAAATCTAAAAAAAAGGGTCTATAATGATATTGGTCCTAACCTGACATCTTGACTCCAGTAACTTTTCCACCACTGTGACATGGCTTCCCTCTGCCTTTTCTATAAATATTTTCATAGCAATTGATCTAATGAGTTTTCCTTTAGTACATTGAATTTAAGTGCATGAATTTAAATGTACTACTAAATTGCCAGAGGAGGCACAGTGGAGTAATGGATATCGGCTCAGACTGAGGAATTGGAGAGCCAAACTAGAATACCAGTCAAATCAATTACATTCACTTATGTACTAATACCCTTGGGAAAGGTATGAATCCTCTTCTTCTCCCCCAGCTATGGGTAAATAGCAGGACAGACTGGGTTCTATAACCTTGGCTGGCAACTGGTCTACTGCAGAAAGAAATGGCAACATACTGCAGGAAAAAATCTGCCTCGTCAGTCATGTATTGAAAGATACATGATTGCCTAAGCATGTATCATGCATGGCACATAACTGACTAGATTGGTAACTAAGTCTCACCATTTTACTGTTGAAATAGCTAGATGTAACTAAGTTCTATTCTGATAGTTTCTTTTCTTGTACTTCTTGCTTGTGGAACACTCTTCCAATCTCTTGCTTCCTTGCTACTTAAAATCTTCAAAACTTTAAATGAATGCCAATCACCATTTTCACACTCCCTGTTCTTTTATTGCCCTTTTTCCTAACTAAAGCTTGCTTAGGGTGAAGTGATTAAAAAAAAATTGATTAAAAAAAATGGAACTTACTTATGACCCAAGCTAGTATTTTTCATTGAAAATTCAAGAAATCATTAGTTCAAACTTACCTCTTCCATGTGTGACTTAGTTCCAGTTAGTATACTGACTACCCATTCATGAACACTACAAAAAAGATGTGGACAATGTTTTTCCATCCAGTTCATGAACTCTAAGTAGGCCAATTTTTCATGTATGCCATACTGCAAAATTGAAACATAATGAAAATGTACATTAGCAACTTCTCAGCAGAGGTAAAAACTTTACTATAAAAAATTCTCCATTAATTATTTTGTAATTTATAATTATTAAACATTACATTTAGTAACTTTTTATAAAAAAAAGTAGAAGACAAAAGTAAACTCTAAGACAGAGTAGTTTATATTTACACTATTTTCCTTTGGACTATTAACCTCATTTTTGTTATTATTATCACAACATTTTAACCATTGTGCCCTCTAACCTTCTTCAGGTGTATATCAAACTGGTTAACCTAAAAGGAATTCTGAACTGAACACCTGATTTAACCTATGGGAGTAGACTGTTCTCATTTCACTGCCCATGACTAGGGATATCTCGTTTAATTATTATTTTTAGTACTGCTTTGTTATTGCTTGCCATGTTTTTCACTGAGTCCAAGTACACACTGTTCGGTTCAGGGATTGAACTCACAATTACTATGCCACCAAATTTGCAAGAGCCAATGCTTTAATCCACTAGGCTATTTTTCCATAGGACAATGCTTAAACTTAACCTGCCTGCTTGCTGATGAGTGATGCTTCTAATTGTCATGATTGAAGGCACTCACCGGGGCTTTCTCTTTTTGTTGGTTGAAGACTTTTTGTAATTTGACTTTCTTACCTTATTAGCAACTCCCATATCACAAAGAATTGATCTTCCCAGACCAATAGAATCACATCACAGACAAATCAATGATGATAAGATTCAAAGCTGGTTCTCATGATCAACTCAGAATGAGAAATTGGGAATCCGCTTATGCACAAATACTCTTGGGAAAGGTATAAATCCAATTACACCCAGTTCAAATTCCATTTGGGTTTATTACATTCACTTCTGCACAAATACTCTTACAAAAGGTATGAATCAAATTTCACCCAGTTCAAATTCCAGTTGGGTTCATTACATTCACTTATGCACAAATACCCTTGGGAAAGGTATGAATCAAATTACACCCAGTTCAAATTCCAGTTGGGTTCATTACATTCAATTATGCACAAATACTTTTGGGAAAGGTATGAATTCAAATACCCCCAGTTCAAATTTCATTTGGGTTCATTTCATTCAATTCTGCACAAATACTCTTGGGAAAGGTATGAATCCATTTCCCCCAACTATGGGTAAAATAGTAGAACTTGTATCTGGAAAATCATTGTTATTATAAAGAAATTGCTTATGAAATATTCATCAGCAAGGAAGAGAAATATTTTTACAATTCAAAATGGTTCAGCTTTAAATAACCCACAAAGGGTTGATAAACTATAAAAAGTCAATCAATCATCTCATGGTCAGAAAGCGAATATTCTAATCATTTGGCTACGTACATAGATATTCTTATATAAATGCTTAAATTTAAACTACATGATTGGCATTTGATAAATAAACTTTCTTTATGTATTTCTTCTCATTTGGTTAAGTACATTAATTTTTGTTCAGAGTCAGATTACAACTTTGCAAGAGTTCCATTGATAAATGTGTCTAGTTCATAGTAAACAAATGTTAAGACAAAAATAATTTTAACTACAATAAAATAAGATTGCATTGCTATGGGCCACTGGGTTAGTTTAGTTGATTATTACAACTGAATAGTAAATTCAAACTATGTGACTCTGTGCCAAACTAAGTTAATATCATAATCTGGCGCAAATGATTTTCTGTGCTTGATTCGGCTAATTTGGGTTATGTTTGCTGTCACCCACTTTGTAATATAACATCAATGTCCTTATTGGATCTACCTGATTACAGAACATTATTCAGGAAGAAACTTACAAACCACTTTAAATTCATTCAAACATTCACAGAACCTTATCCATATAGTTGAATAAATCTTTTTTATGTAGTTGAATTACATTTTTTACCTTTCTTAAAATAAAAAACAAAAATATACCAAAACTACTGCTTATTTTTCCATTATCAATGTTAGAATAAAAAGTGATTATATTGAATCGATTGCTCAGTCTATTACTAGTTAAGTGTGTTCATCATGTCTGTTTTTGACACATCTGCACGTTGAGAGTGCCTCTCTCGACTGAGAAAAACACTGGTGTTATATAGCTCTCACAGTCCCAGACCCAGACCCCCACTGACTATTGGCTAATACCTGCGCAGTATCATTCATGTGCAAACAGTCAGTGCCACCTACTCTAAGTAAAAGGTCTTCTATCAACAGCCCATTGTGGGAAGGGACACAACTCCTGCTGCTTAAAGCATTACATACAACTTTTATTGGGCTGACCCGATTGTCTATTACATTAAGTTGGTTCACCACTTGTCATGTCAGTCAATTTTTTCTCATCAGAGTACATCTTTCACATTTATAAATCTACCATTCGTTCATACATTGAATATTGCTGCCATATCTGGTATTGTGTAGCTGCTGTATATCTTGAGATTCTTGACAAAATCCAAAGAAGAGTTTATAATTTTATTGGTCATGACCTGGCATCTTGACTTCAGTCACTTTCCCACTGATATGACATGACTTCCCTTTTTATAAATATTCATATAATTTTTCTGATGAGCTTTCCTTCTTGGTACCTCAACCACATAAATTTAAGAGTACTAATACATTGGTAACTAAGTGTCACCATTTTACTGAACTAGCTATAACTGTAAGTTATATTCTTATAGTTTCTTTTTTTTTTTTTTTTTGCACTTCATTCCTGTGGAACTCTCTTCTGGTTTCTTGCATGCCTGCCATCTGTAATCTTGAACATTTTGAATGCAATACCAATCACCATTTGTCCCTGTTCTTTTATTGTCCTTTCTCCTCAAAGTTTTCTTACTGCCTTTCATTCCTAGTGTTACCTTGCATCTTAGTAGCATTATCACCTTGATTGAAGTGACAGGATTGAAAATAAATAAATAAATTTTGATAAAATTATTTACACTATTTACATTTGGACTATTGTCCTTATCTTTGTTGCTGTTATCATGTTTCAGTTCTTGTGCCCTCTGACCTTCATCGGGTGTATATCCATCTGAATAACTTACAGAGAATTCTGAATTTAACACTTTATTTAATATATGAAGATAGACTGTTTTTATTCTACTACCCATGTCTAGGGAATATCTTGTCTAGTTCTTGTTTTTAGTACTGCTCAGTTAGAAAATTATGTTAGTTAAAACATATAATTTCACCTAACAGACATAACATTTTATTTTTTTCAATAAAAAAACAGAGTGCAAAATCTTTGTTTTTATTTGTAAAATACATCCTTTATTATAAAATTCTGTCAAAAAATATCCAAGCAGTGATTTTTCATAGTATTTAAGTTTTGTTCTTTAAGTAAAAATTGAAAATTGAAAACAAGGAGACATTTTCATCAACCTATATTAATAATTTTAAATTTATCCAAATATTCAAATTGATATATTAGATATTACAAACAAGTACACTTTACTTACCATACTGTCGACCATGGCATCAAAAATACGTTCATCATTTTCAAAATGAGAATAAGGAATTGAAGATAATGACAGAGTTAGTGCATAACAAATAGATGCCAGATTCCTGCTGTCTGAAACGTAAATTAAATAAAGTACAAATAAACTGATTTAATCTCAAGGTAGAAAAGATTAAGATAGTTAAATATCAAGTCATGCATTTAAAGGTCAAAATAATAAGATTGATTCAAAATGATGATTATATAACAATAGTACTTATCTATTATACCCTGCCTATTTGGTAATTCCTTGAATTTAAAATTTTAAAATATCTTTTTATTTTTAATTAGTTGTCAATAAATTAAAAAAATCTATATTCCTTATATAAATCTGCACATTAAAATATACTTTTATATATAATTAGATGAGAATAAAGAAAAATACATATTCCTTAGATCTCTAATTAAAATATACATTTTTATTTTTAATTAGTTGTCAATAAAAAAAAAAATCCATATTCCTTATATAGTTTTGGTTAAATGAAAAAAATAATACTAAACCTGGCAAACTGGCACTGAATGCAAAAAAATAATATTTTAGCCGCAGTTTAATAAATCATTTATACATTAAGATCATTTTTAGTATTGCTAGCAACTTAGTATAATTTTGCCACAAAGAAGCATCATTTTTTTCTACTCGAGGGGAAATAACTCTGTATCTAATTGCCTAAGTTATCTATTCGAAGGTATCGTAAAAAATCCATGTCAGTTTGAAGAACCATTTTAAAAATAAGGAATTATCACTTTGAACAAATTCCTTCCGTTCTGTACATGGAAAATACAAAACGTGTACATTTTTTCATTTATCAAAGAAAAATAAACTTTAAATTACTGTAAATAAATATAATTTAGGAATATTATAGATGATTGGCAATATAAAACACTGCCAGGAGTGTCTCAGTTTTTTTGAGTTCTTTATTCCTGTCTGCTGGTGTGTGTATGTGTGTCTGTAACTAGTGTTTTCTCAGTTAACTGTTAAGTTGAATTTGCCAGTTTTTACAAGATTCTCTCTGTAACGAAATCATTTCCTCCACTTTTAAATGGAGTTGCCGAGTGAAAACACTTCATAATGTGTTTTGCAAAGCGCTTTATAATGTTTTTTGGGTGTCACGATTCAGTTGTGGAGATATTTTTTTTGATACAACACATTACGAAATTTGAGTTTGTTTAAAGTTTACAAGTGAAACAATGGCCTGAAATGGATTAAATATTTATCCAAAGTAACACGTCCGCTTAAAAACAATCACTGGTAATCCAAAGAATGTTTTTAGACTATAAATTTTTTTCAAAACAAACCGAAAATGATGTTAATTAAAATTTAGAGTTAACATTTGTTTTCTGATTCTTGTCTTCTTGTTTTTGGTTTTGTTTTTTTTTCGTAAAATCTCATTGTTCTTCTGAAAGTAGACATCTAAATCTCCAGGTATTAAGAATTTTAGGTTAATAGGTCTATAACTGGTATAAGCTAAGCAATAAACATTTATAGTCATCATCATCACACACACACACATACATACATACATACCTATACAAATTCAAATTTCAATAACAATCATTCATTGGATAGAAATCAATGCTATTGTCTTATGCGACAATTTTGAAATCGCTATATTTTCATATGCAGATTTTGTGCACTTTTGGGAGAATAAGTTCCCAGAAATTTGCCCAAAGCTCATTCACTGATTGGTCAGTGCCGACCAATTGGATTGTCTGCACGTGAAGAGTGATTCTTCCCGCACAGCACTTCTGATCCAATGATCACCTATAAAAGCAAGAAAAAAGAGTAGACACACCAGTGAGACTTCAGCTGGCCACAGAAATCTACAACAGTTGAAGCTATCTCTCTCTTCTCCTCAACACTCTAAACTGAATATTCCTTACACTTACATAATTTTTCCTCTTGCACAGCAAAACTGTTAAAAAACATTTACTACAAACTATTAACTCTTTCTTTTCAGAGAACTTTGATAAACAATGATAGTCAAAGAGAGACAACTCTCGTCTTACTCATTGCATGCTTTTTCTTACACATTCTTTATTGTATACATTGTTGAATACAATTTTTATATATAATGATTTCTTTCCCTTGTCCTTTCTTCACATCAGTTTGGTTTCCTAATCAAAATTAAATAAATGTGGTGCAAGTCCGCCACACATTTATAATTGATCAAACAAGTAAAAAAAACTAAATATCTGGGAAGTATTTTTTAACACAGGATACAAAGTGTGACATGGAAATCCGAAGGTGTATTGGGATAGCCAAAGATGCCTTCCAAAAACTAAGCAGAGTATTGAGAAACAGAAAGAATTTGCTAGAAACAAAGAAAAGAGTACCAAACTGTTACGCAATATCTGCCACCTATAGGGCAGTGAATGCTGGACAATGTCCTCAAAGATGAAGAAGAGACTTGAAGTGTGGTACTACAAAAAGATACCATGGACTAAATATGTGAGCAACGATGAAGGTTTAGAGAAAATGGAAACAAAAAGGAAACATAAACTCATTAAGAGAGTTCAAATTTCTAGGGAGCATAATGAGGAAAGGTTTTTTTTTTTTTGTTTGTTTTGGAGGCTTATAAAAACCCTCATGGGTCATTTAAAGCAGAGATATTCTTATTTCATAAAAAAAAAAAATTTCTATTTTTTTTATTATACCCAATGGATGGTATCAAATATTTATTTAGTTATTTTTTTCTTTCTTTTTTTTTTAACTTATGGTTTCAGCTTCTTTTTTTTTTCATTCACATGATATCAACTACTTTGGCTAATTTAGATATCTACTTTCTTCTTGTATAGACAATAATGCACAAGCAGGTCAATATTGCCACTTATTTTCGGGATTTTCTGTATCCTGGCTTCCATTCGCAAAGTATTGGCTTGATTTGTAATAATTTATTTTATTTAGTACACTGTTACTCTTATGTTGTTGCCTTTTTTGTTTAATAAATCTGTTTATTTGGCTCTTCAGGTCTGTGTATGGGATCTTAAAGTTCAGCTCAATTTCCATATTTACAACATGTTTAGCAGTTGAGTCAGCTTTGTCATTTTCTACTAAATTAACGTGACTTGGAATCCAACACATTACAACATCTACTGACATAGATGGAGTTTATTTTGCAACTTGACTATTAATGGGTTGTCAGATTTTTTTTTTTTGTATTGTTAGAACCAATAGTGAATCAGAAAAGATTATAACTTTTTTGTTTTTATTTATTGAAATAATGCTGAGTGCTAGATCTATGGCTCAGGCTTCAGCATTGAAGATAAATGTTTCTTCATGGAGGTGCTTACTGCTTATTTTCTTCTGACCTATTGCTGCACATCCTGTTTTAGTGTTATATTTCTATGTTTGGACGCATCTGTAAAGATGGGTGTGTGAATGGAATAGTTTTCTTTGATTTTATTAAATTCGTTCTGAAAAAAGTCCAATATTATTTTTGGAGATTGTATAGCTCAGGGAGCAATGGTTAGGAGTGATATTCTCATGGGATATTGCCAGTTGTATTTCAGATTCCCCAATAAGAGGTTCCATTCAAAGCCTAAATGATTTCATAGTTTTTTTCTTTTTGCTGATACAGGTTTCTGCATTGAGGAAGGAAAGTATTTTTCTAGGAAGAGTTAAATGAACAGGATTTTAGTTTTATATATATATTGTGTTCTCTATATTAGTTCTTCATAATCTAAGATTGAAGGACAGAACTGGAGGCGATCAGCATCTGCATTTTAATTTTCAACTATTGAGGTATTTTGAAAGCCTTAAGCAAGTCAAAGAAACCTTTTCATGGATGGAAATCAAAATTATTTAAATGAAGATTTATTTATTTTGATAAACCAGGTCACAAATGTATATCTTGTGATTATAGTTTTGATCGAAAGGTCCAGAAAATTTGTTTGTTGGAAAATTTAGAACCATCTCTTTCTCTCCAAATAAAAATGTCCCATTACATAGAAGGATATATTACAAGATATGATAATCAACCCAGAGAATATGAAACCCATTTTTTTTTATGAAAAGTAAAATATACCAATTCAATTTTTTATCAGATGTTATTGGTTATTTTTGTTTCATCCTTTTTCATACAATAAAGGAATAGGTATCTTATAAATCTTACAGTAACATTTTTTGCTTATTTCCCAGTTTCTTTTTAGACATGGAGAGAAATACATTGCTTTCATATTTTTGCAAATATTAAGTCTAGATCAGACAAAGAACCAGCTTTAAAGATTTTGAAACACTGCTAGAATTATTTTTGATTATCTGTCTATATTTCTGAGATTTGATTAAAACATTTCAAATAATTTCCTCCAAAGTTCATTTACTCTGGAACCTGGTAACTTTTAATAAATTATTTATTTTTATTCAACAGTGTTACTGATAAAAAAAGGGTTCACTGAGACCCCTAAATTGTGTTTATAGTTTCAGCATTATGTGGATCATATCTTTTACCAAAAAATAAAAAGAATTACCTTTTTTTTTTTGTTTAATAAGTAGTTTCCACATCAAAAACTACATTTTTCATTTATTTAACTTTCAACACATTCTATTATCCTCGGTATGGGTCAAAAATGTTATTCTAAATATTTTTCAAAAAATAGTTAATTTTCTTCCAAAATTTCTGAAAAACCAAACATTTTTCAATAGGCCTCAGTTCTGGATTTCAAAACTCAAAAGCAAGTCTGGAGGTAGTATTCTATAATAATGTAGCACATCTTTCATATTCTAAGATTTTTTTAGTTTCATCATTTAAATTTAACTTCCAAATGAAAAATGTTGTAATCTTAAAACTTCCATGTATGGTAGAATGGAAGAATTTTTAAATAAGATTTTCTTTTTGAAAATATTGATGCTACCATAATCTTTTTTAAGATGTCGTCAAAAGTTTTCCAGCCTGAATTTTCAGCTGTGAGCCAACCCTTTAAGGATTTTTTTGCTTTTGTATTTTGAGATATTTCAGATGGGGATAAAAGTCATTTTTT